AAATGTTTCTCTGAGTTCTGTGAGCTGCTCTAGCAAATTAATTGAACCAGAGGAGGGGGGGTTGTGGGAACCTCAGATCTACAGCTAGTCAGTCAGAAGCACAGGTAACAACATAAACTTGGGATTGGCATCTGAAGTGGGGACAGCAGTATTGTGGGATTGAGCCCTGAACCTGTGGGATCCGACACTATCTCCAAGTAGACAGTGTCAGAATTGAGTTAAATTTGTTGGACACCCAGTCGGTGTCTGCTAAGAATTAGAGAACTGCTTGATGAGGTATGGAAAAAACACACATTTGGAGCCACAAAACACCTGTCTTGATTACTGTAGCTCTACAGTATGTCTTGAAGTCAGGTAGTATAACTTCTCCAATTTTGTTCTTCGTTTTTCTAAGTTGTTTCAATATTCTAGGTCCTTTGCATTTCTGTATGAATTTTAGAATCAGCCTGTGAATTTCTCTTCTGCTAAGACTGCTAAGATTTTGACTGGGACTATATAAATCTACAATACATTTGGAAAGAATTGCCATTTTAACAATAGTAAGTCTTCCAACTCATAAGTGCCGTCCTTCTATTTGGTTAGGCCTTCTCTAATGTCTCTCAGCAATGCTTTGTTTTTCTCAGTGTACAGGTCTTGTACATCTTTGCCAGATATATCCCTAAGTATTTCATAGTTTTTGGTAAAACTGTAAATGTCATTTTTTCATTTATACTGGTTGCGGCTAATATAAAGAAATGCATCTGATTTGTGTATATTGATCTTGTATCCTGGAACCTTGCTAAACTCACTTATTAAGTCTAGTTGCCCTCTTGTAGATTTCATGGGCTTTTTCTACATAGATATCACATCACCTGTGAATAAAAACAGCTTTACTTCATTCTTTCCAATCTGGATGCCTTCTGTTTCTTTCCTGATCACACTGGACAGAACCTTCATTACAATGTTCAATAGCAGTGAGGTTGGACATCCTTGCCTTGTTCCTGATCTTAGAGGGGAAACAGTCACATTTAATTTTTCACTATTAATTTTGATGTTAGCTGTAGGATATCCTTAGATGCTCTTTCTGCATCTACTGAGATGATCAGATTGTTTTTCTTTCCTGGTCTGGTAATAGGATGAAACACATTGACTTTCAAATGTTAAACCAACTTTGCATTCCTGGAATAACCTCCTTCGTCCTTTTTATATACTGTTGGGTTCCATTTGTTAAAAAATTTTTAAGAATTTCCTCATCTATGCTCATGAGAGATATTGTTCAGTAATTTTCTTTTCTTATGTCTTTGCCTGGTATTGATATCAGGATAATTCTGGTGTTCTTGCTTTCTAATTTTTTTTTAACCAGCTTTCTTTCAGTTTGTATATTTTCTATTGCCGTGTATTCAATTTCACCGATCTCTTCTTATTTGTATCTACACTTAAGCTCACCCAAATATTTTTCATGTCAAATTTTTATTTTTTTCCTCCTCTTAATTTCATGTTTTCTTTAAAATCTTGGATCATATCTATAAAAAAAGTTTGAATTTTTTTTCCTGCTAATTCCATCATCACTACCATTTCTGGATCTGTTTCAATTGTCTAATTTTTCTCCTGGTTATGGGTCATATTTTTCTGCTTCGTCTTTCCTCTAGCAACTCTTACCATATAACTAAACGTGTTGTTGAGTGTATAGATTTTGTTGTCTTTTTTAACAGAGTGCTTAGTTTTTCTGACAGACAGGTTACTTGCAGAGCAGCTTGATCATTTTAAGACTTGCTTTTAAGCTTCACAGGGTTGCCTTAGAGAAACCTTTAATTTAGGGCTAGCTTAATCTTTTCTGGCATCTGTAGTGAATGTCCTGGGTATTAAGTTCTTTCCACTGTTTGGAATTCGAATATTTTCTAACCTGTGTAAGCTCCATGTGTTGTTCAGTTAGCAGCTCCTTGGTATTTGTTCTTTTTCAGGCCTCAGGAAGTCTCACCCTAGGCATGCACAGCCTAAGACTCAAGAAACTCCTATGAAGGTTTCTGAAGTTCTTTCTTAGAACAGTGTAAGTCTCATTCACCACTGTCATTGATTTCTAATATTGCCAAGCTCATTCTGAAAGTATAAATTTAGTTCATAACTTAAGATTCTCTTTACACTGTATTTTTAAAAGTCTGTGTCCTTAAAAATCAAACACAATTTAGAAATGGCTTTCCTGTGCAAGGAGAATTTCACTTGAAAAAGAAAAACACAGTTCTCTTTTTGGTACATACGATTCTTGCTGCAGACATGCTGCATGGCCCAAACTGCCCATAGCTGGACTCCTGGTGTTGTGAAACAGCCAAGTAATGGGAAAAATGGATTAAAGGACCTAAACGTTCAAAGAAAAGAATAAAAGTTACATCCTATACTTAGTGTCATTTTCTAAAGCAATGATTCCTGAGCTTTTTGCTACAGAAATTTCATCCTGCTATTTTTAAACTATAATATAAATGAGCTTCTATAGAACATCTTTTCTTTGTCTTAGCCATTTGATAAACGAGTATATTCAGACAAAAGTCTTGGTACAGAAGATGGAAGGCGATCAGAACAACATATTTTTTCTCAAAAGCACCTGTTGGTCTTGAAGATACACATTTGAAGAATCGCAGACTTTGGTTTGGAAACTTAGATAAGGAGAAGTTAGTTGATAACTAACCAGAACAACACCATGACGGAGCTCTAGAATTAGCCTTTCTATTTCTACAAGTCTTCTGCCCAAAAATGTACAGAACGTAAGTGGGAATCAAAAGTGCTGGCAGCATCAGCATTTATAAAGTAGACAACAAAATAAATTGCAATAATAATATTTATGCAGCAATCTGGAATACTTCTGGTATATTAGTAACTTATCTATCAAGTCACCTAACTGTCATAAACAGAGTTAGAATCTAGTATGCCCTTCAGTAAATTATTATAAACTGTTTCCCTGAAAAAATCAGGTGCTATTTCTAGTTCTCTAAATGTGTTCTCGTTTTAGACCTCCTTGCATTAATACTCTACCTAAAATCTTCTGTCTCTACTTAATTATCTCTAAAAACTCAGCTCACAATCTACTTCCTCTGGAAGCTTTTTACCATTTTCCAGTGCACGTTCAGAGCATTCTATGTACATAACTAGCATAGGAGTGAATTATTTCTGATTTACATTTGGTTTCCATCACTAGGCCGTAAAGTTCTTGTACGGAGGCACCATATCTTACTCATCTTTGAATTTCAAGAGCATAGAACAAGACCTTGGCACCTGTTTTCAATAAATGTAGAATGAAGGAAGGACTGATGAATGACAGGTAGCAAAATAAATTAAAAATACTTTATTTTAAAGCCAGATAGAAGATAGATGCCAAAGGGTAAAATCTACATCTAATAGGAATGACCTCTACACAAGCAAAATGACTAGATTACTGGCTTAATATTAATTATCTTGCTAGTTACCTGTATGCTACCATCTCACACTCTGGAGTTGGCCATTTCAAAATTGCTGAATGCTGAAAGACACAAAGCACACAAGAAAGGGTTACAATATTTATTTAGCATTGCATTTTGAGGGTTTGACAGTTTAACCATTATGAATGTTGTTTGTATGCTTCCAAAAAACACCAAATTACCCTACCAGATCATCTAGAAGAGAATTCCTCTGGCTACGACTCAATGTCCAAGCTTGTTCTCCTCTAGATATTAAGTGGGCAATAATCCCAGCTGCAAAGTAACTGACTTCCACTTCAACACTATGTAGAAGGCTACTGATGTGGTCTATAAAATCCTTCCACATTAATTCAGAATGCAATTCTTGTACTTCAGCTATATTGTTCTGGAAAAAAAAGAAGATATAAAAATTAAAATAATATGTATAATAAATGGCTAAATGACACTGCAACGATTTAAATATGTATGGACAAAAGCGAATATTGTTGCTATGTTAGCACAGTGGGATTACAGGTGATTTTAGTCCTCTTCTCCCCAAACAATAAAATAATAAAGAAACAGTAGCGAGTTCTGTTTCAGGTAAAACAGTAAACTAGATAACCTAAAAATGTCCTGCTATAAAATATCTAGAAGTGCTGAGTAAAAACAGGCAAACAAACTTTATATATGTAACTTTTTTGGTGGGACAAAATGTAAACAGGGAATCAAACTAGAGCATAACAGGCTATCACTGGCCTGCAGGGGCAGGAGAACTGGGTTTTAATAGACATGCAAGGGCAAAAGTAAGGGCCAGAGATTGGAACTAATACAAGGCAAGAACTTTCAAAGCATTACACCTCAGTAAAAGAGGGGATTGACATAGATACATAAAAAAGAAGTAATCTGGGCTCTGGCCAATTTAGATTGTGCTTGATCTTCTCCAAAACGATCTAAGATTCAACTTATCTCACTACTCTGAAGATTAATCCTCATTCTTTTTTTTAAAATTCTTTATTTAATTTATTTATTTCTGGCTGTGTCAGGTTTTAGTTGCGGCATTCAGGATCTTCGTTGAGGCATGCGGGATTTTTCATTGTGGCGTACAGGCTCTTTGTTGCAGCACCTAGGCATCTCTTTCTAGTTCTGGTGAGTGGGCTCAGTAGTTGCGGTGCATGGGCTCTCTAGTTGTGGCACGCGGGCTCTGTAGCTGTGGTGTGCAGGCTCCAGAGTCTGTGGGCTCTGTAGTTGGCAGCACGCGGGCTCTCTCATTGAGGTACGCGAGCTCAGTAGTTGTGGCGCATGGGCTTAGTTGTCCCATGGCATGTGGGATCCTAGTTCCCCAATCAGGGATCGAACCTGTATCCCATGCACTGGAATGCAGATTCTTAACCACTGGACCACCAGGGAAGTCCCTAATCCTCATTCTTAAAACTTCATTTGATCTACTATGAAATCATAATTCTCTTCCTAACACACTGATTCCATTTCTTAGGAACCAAAAACCCTGGCCTTTTCGTTGGTAAGAAACTATTCACTCCCTAGCTTGTCATTCTATAACAAATGAAAATGAAAGCTATCGTGTCCAAATGTATTCTCTGTAACGACTAACAAGTTTTCTTTTCCAATTATGGAAGAGTGAGGATGGAAGAGACAAGTGTAACTTTACTCACTACATGAATGTGTATAATCCTGTACCTTTCCATCAGCATTAGTGATAAATCAATGTCTCCTATGCCCCTCTCTAATCTCACATATTCAAACAAGAAAAGGAATTTCACATTCATTTTTTAAAAATTAATTATTTTTGGCTGCATTGGGTCTTCGTTGCTGCATGTGGGCTTTCTCTAGTTGTGGTGAGCGGGGGCTACTCTTTGTTGTGGTGCTCGGGCTTCTCATTGTGGTGGCTTCTCTTGTTGCGGAGCATGGGCTCTAGGCACGCGGGCTTCAGTAGTTGTGGCTCGCGGGCTCTAGAGCACAGGCTCAGTAGTTGCGGTGCACGGGCTTAGTTACTCCGTGGCATGTGGGATCTTCCCGGACCAGGGATTGAACCTGTGTCCCCTGCATTGGCAGGCAGATTCTTATCCACTGCACCACCAGGGAAGCTCTCACATTCATTTTTTATACTCTTCCCTATTTATGTTTTTTTAACACAGCATGTATCATTTTATAGTGACAAGAAAAGGAAAGATAGATATGCCTTTTAAAATAAACAAATTAAAAAAAGATAGTCCTCTGTCTCCTTCAAGCTTGGGGAAGCTTGATAGAAAGAAATATAAAGACCCTCTGAGAAGGACACACCTTGTACTCAAAGCCCCACAGATGGTGGTAAATTACAATTCACAATGAAAACAATCCATAATGAGTGAAATCATCAAATACAGTAGAAAATTAGACTCTCCCAAGAACCTCATGTAATATAAGATAGTACGTGATTTTAAAAAGTTAAACACACACACATACACATGAAAATGCAAAAGACAACACCATTAAAACAAAAAACAACAGATAAGGAAAGATTTGGAATAGAGCATCAAAAGAATTATGGCCATTCTTTCTTGCCATAAACAAGTTACTGGAAAATCAGACAAAATATATAAGAGAACTGTTTTCAGACAGCAGACAACTAGCTATACAGGAATGTAATCCCTGAGAGAAGATATTCAAATGGGGCAGTTTCTAGATTGCTACGCATATAAGGGGAACCTAAAGAGTTGACAGTTTTGCTAAGTTGAGGAGACAGAGATCAGTCTTCAGGGTGGCCAAGGCAGCAAAAATTTGCAGAACAAAGCAATGTAGAGGAAAAAGTTCCAGAGAAAGAGAAAGAGAGGAAAGACATCTGCAGAGGGATCCCCTAAAATCTTTGGCTGAGTACTGATACGGAGTGAAACTCCATGAGGCCAGGGAAAGAACCACCAGAAAGCAGTACGTGAACAAATCCCAAAGTCACGCAGGGTTAGGAATAATTCACATTCTCACTAGCCAGAGTGAAGAGATCTCATAATAAACAAAACATTTGATAGTAGTGGGGTAACTAGGATAAAGTAGTAGGGTAAAGTTTGAACTGAAGCCACTTTAACAAAGCAAATATAGGCATACCTTGGAGATATTGTGGCTTTGATTTCAGACAACCACAATAAAGCAAATATTGCAATCAAGTAAGCCACCCAAATTTCTTGGTTTCCAGTGCATAAAAAGTTATGTTTATACTATATTGTAGTCTATTAAGTGTGCAAAAGCATAACGTCTTAAAAAAAACAATGTAAATACCTTAATTAAAAAATATTTATTGCTAAAAAATTCTAACCATTACTGAGCCCTTCAGCAAGTTACAGTAGTAAAGTCAAACAAACATCACTGATCAGAGATCACCATAACAAATATAATCCTAATGAAAAATTCTGAAATGTTGCAAGAATTATCAAAATGTGACACAGAAATACAACGTGAGCTAATGCTGTTGGAAAAATGGTGCAGACAGACTTGTTCGACACATAGTTGCCACGAACCTTCAATTTGTAAAAAACAACAGTATTTGTGAAGTGCATAACATGAGGTATGCCTGTAAATAAGCTTTGAATGGAACAGCTTGATCCGTGAGTAGCTTAACTGAATGCCAGCACAAAGTCCAAGATTCTTTAAAGGAAAACAACAAAACTACTAATCAACAAAGTAAATTAAATTTCACAATGACTGCAACCAACTAAAAATTACCAGGCATACAAAGAGTCAGAAAAACATGATCCTTAAACAGGAGAAAAGTCAATCAATAAAAATAGACCCAGAAATGACAGGGATAATAGAATCAGTAGACAAGGATTTATAACAGTTATTATAGGGACTTGCCTGGTGGCACACTGGTTAAGAATCTGCCTGCCAATGCAGGGGACATGGGTTTGAGCCCTGGTCCAGGAAGATCCCACATGCCACGGAGAAACGAAACCCGTGTGCCACAACTACTGAGCCTGTGCTCTAGAGCCCGCAAGCCACAACTACTGAGCCTACATGCCACAACTACTGAAGGCCATGTGCCTAGAGCCTATGCTCCACAACAAGAGAAGCCACAGCAATGAGAAGCCTGAGCACTGCAACAAAGAGTAGCCCCCACTCACCGTGACTAGAGAAAGCCCATGCGCAGCAACAAAGACCCAACACAGCCAAAAAAATAAAATTAATTTAAAAACACAGCTATTATAAATGTTATAAATATGATACGAATGAAAGAAAAATATAAGCTTGAGGAGAAAAAAAATGAAGATATAAAAAAGATCTAAATGTAACTTCTAGAAATAATATATACATGTACCTGAAATGAAAAATATACTGGATGAGATTAACAGCAGATGACATGCTGCAGGAAAAAAATAATCAGTGAACTAAAAAACAGTAATAGAAAACAGCAAGGTCAAAACACAGAAAGAAAAAAGGAAAGAAACCTGCCAAAAAAGGCAGCAGAGTATTTCTGTGACTTTTGAGACAATTTTAAGCAATCTAACATACTTGTAATTGGAGTCTCAGAAAGAGAGGAGATAAGAGAGGGTACAGAAAAATATATTTGAAGAAATAATGGCCAAAATTTTTTCAATTTATGAAAATTATAAACCTCAAAACCCAATAGAAAAATATCCACTTGGACTTCAATAGTGAGCAAAAATTTATCTTTTGAAAATTAAATCAAAGACTTTTTCACATAAACAAAACCTAAATGAAAATTCATTGCCAGCTTACCTACACTAAATGTTTTTTTTAAAAAAAGAGTAGTATGAGAAATACGTGGCTAAGTATAAAAGACAAATTTCTCATTCTTAAATCTATTTAATGAAAGATTGATGAGGACTCTTGCTTCTGGCCAAGATGGACTAAAAGGGGCCAGATTTACTCTCCATTCTAAAACAACTGAAAAAACACAACATGAAACAACAGTTTTCAAGATACTAGACATTAGGTAATAAAGAACAGTGACGTTTAGAGATGGAAAACAAACAAGGTGAGATGCTGCCTTGAGAGAGTTTCCAGGCTGTGGCACAGGGATATAGAACTAAAAGCAGAGCCCAGTGGGCTCATGGAGTTGAAGAGATGGAGCTGAGAGTCCAGGGAGACCAAGGCAATTCATAGGACAGAGTACCAGAGAGAAGACAATGTACATGGAGAGAATCCAGAGAGCCGCAGGGAGTAGCACTCTATTCAGCAGAGTACTGATCAGAGCATGACTGTGAGAAAACTATTTGAGGGAAGAAAAAGAGCCATCAAAAAGATTAGAGAAAAGTTCCCAGCACTCACAAAGGGCCAGGAATAGTGCCTGTTCTCACCATCCATTCTGGAAAAACTCTTCATCCACAGGGCATTGAGCAGAGTACTCAGGAAGGTCTTGTTTCAGTAGTACAGAATAATCAGCCCTAGTCTCAGCACTGCTCTGGACCCTCCTAACAGATCATAAAAGCATGATCAGCTCCGCCCTCACAACCTTCTCTGGGCGCGGGCCACCGGGTGGTTCTCAGCGGAGCAGGCTGAGCTGCGGGAAGGGAACCCTGGGGGAGAGGAGGGCGCAAGGCATTGAGGCAGGGGAAAGTGACCAGCTGCCCTTCATTACCAGCTAGGGACAAGCATGCGGCCGCTGCCCCACCTGGCTGCCCACGATCACTCGTCTGCAGAAATGTCAGCCGCTGGCGCCCGGGGCCTGCGGGGCACCTACCACCGGGTACTTGATAAAGTGGAGCTCCTGCTGCCTGAGAAATTGAGGCCGTTGTACAACCAACCAGCAGGCCCCAGAACAGTATTTTTCTGGGCTCCAATTATGAAATGGGGGTTGGTGTGTACTGGATTGGCTGACATGGTCAGACCTGCAGAAAAACTCAGCACAGCCCAATCTGCTGTTTTGATGGCTATGAGGTTTATTTGGTCAAGATACTCACTTGTAATTATTCCCAAAAACTGGAGTCTGTTTGCTGTTAATTTCTTTGCTGGGACAGCAGGAGCCTCTCAGCTCTTTCGTATTTGGAGATATAACCAAGGATTAAAAGCTAAAGCAAACAAATAAGAGTTCTGATCACCCTAACAACCTAGATGTGGACATAACCGCTGGGACCTAGTTTGATTATTATTCAGTTGTCAATGAGGTGATGCTAACTGTGCTAACGTTTGTAATGCATAAAATCTAACTGTAATTGGGAGGTAGTACTTGGTTCAACAGAAAAATACAGCAAACTTTTAATAATAAAAAAAAGCAAGATCAAATAGGATCAAACTGTTTAAAAGTAAGTCAAGGGCTTCCCTAGTGGCGCAGCGGTTGAGAGTCTGCCTGCTGATGCAGGGGACACGGGTTCTCATATTGGATAAAAAAGCAGGGTGCAAAGTATATGCTGTCTATAAGAAACACACTTTAAATATAAAGACAAATATAGGTTAAAAGTAAAAGGATGGAAGAAGATAAATCATGGTAACATTATTCAAAAGAAAGCTGGAATAGCTATATTAAGGAGACAAAGGAGATTTCAAAGTAAAGAATATACCAGGTCATTTCATAATGATAAAGGGGTCAATTAAGAGGGCATAGCAATTCTGTTTATGAACCTAATAACAGAACTTCAAAATATAGGAAGCAGAAACTGATAGAATATGATAATTGCTAGAACAAGTAGGCAGAAAATCAGTAAGTCTGTGGTAGACTTGAATAATATCAACCTACTAGACCCAACTGACATTTATAGAACACTCTAACAATAGCAGAATATACATTCTTTTTTTTTTGTTTTTTTGGGGTTTTTTTGCAGTACGTGGGCCTCTCAGGCCTCTCCCGTTGCGGAGCACAGGCTCCGGACACGCAGGCTCAGCGGCCATGGCTCACGGGCCTAGCCGCTCTGCGACAGGTGGGATCTTCCCGGACCAGGGCACAAACCCGTGTCCCCTGCATCGGCAGGCGGACTCTCAACCACTGCGCCACCAGGGAAGCCCTGAATATACATTCTTATCAAGTGCACAGGGAATACTTACCAGGATAGACCATATCCTGGGCCACACACAAGTCTCAATAAATTCAAAAGGACTTAAAACAAAGTATGTTCTCTGACCATGAAAAATTAAATTAGAGTCTATATCTCAAAATAAATTATTGAAAAAATTCAATCACAAAGTAATGGAGAAAGATATGGAAGGAAGCACACCAAGTTGTATTAATATTAATTACCTCACAGAGATGAAAATAAAGAGATGTTGGGGACAAAACCTTAAACTTTTAAAATACATTTTGCACTGTTTCACTAGCTACAATAAGCATGTATTCCTTTTTTTTAAAATAAATTTATTTATTTATTTGCTTTTGGCTGTATTGGGTCTTTGTTGCTGCACGCAGGCTTTCTCTAGTTGAGGTAAGCGGGGGCTACTCTTCGTTGAGGTGCATGGGCTTCTCATTGCGGTGGCTTCTCTTGTTGCAGAGCGTGGGCTCTAGGCATGTGGGCTTCAGTAGTTGTGGTGTGCGGACTCTAGAGCGCAGGCTCAGTAGTTGTGGCGCACGGGCTTAGTTGCTCTGAGGCATGTGGGATCTTCCCGGACCAGGGCTCGAACCCATGTCCCCTGCATTGGCAGGTGGATTTTAAACCAGTGCGCCACCAGGGAAGTCCCCAGAATGTATTCTTTATGAAATTTTTTAAAAAGCATTTTTAAAGCCCTATAAGTTCTCTCTGAATATTTAAAATCAATTCCCTTTTTCCTTTTATAATGACTTGACTCAAATTCTGTATCTAATAATCTACAAACCCAGAATAAAACACTCAAATACTATAATTTACTTAATACTTCTCTATTACTGGGCATTTAGGTAGTTTTACATTTTCTGCTTTATATAACTAAAACTACAGTAAATAGATAGTCTTCCTTAAATGCCAGCCCTCAACTTTCCCCAAAATCCATCTTTCATACTCCTGCATCTAGAAAACAAACACTAATCTATGCCTCCTGTGATCTAATTCCTCGAGAGCAGAGGTCTGCTTTGAAATGGGCTTTACCATACGGGTACTTTTCCTGTTGCAGTGATTAAAGGTGATAAAATATCTGATCCTCACCTTTGTCTCAAAATCCTAGAGGTCTCACTTTAACATATATCCAGTGTATTTATGGAACATCTGATTTGTTAAACAGTTGTTTAAGCAGTAATTATCAATTACCAAACATAGAATCTAAGGACACTTGTAGGTTAGTGACATTTTTCATGAGATTTTTTTTTTCTGATTATACAAGTAAAATACACTCACAGTGAAGCTTTGTACTATACCAAAATATATAAATAAAAGTATGTAATTTATATTTTTCCTTTTAGTGTGGTGAAAATCTTAATGTGTATATATAATTTTGTAGCCTGCTTTTTTCCCTTAATTATATTATATATATTTTCTAACGTCATTAAGTGTTTACAAATAGAGTAGCATCTTTCTATGTATTACCTCAGATGGAAAATAATTACAGCTTGAAATTAGCAGGAAATACTTATATCTTACCAAAAGTCCTAGGACTTTCTGTTGAATGGATGACTCAGTTGGGAATGACTGTAAAAAGAACGAGAAACCTATAACTAAAGAACCAAATATAATAAATAAATGCTCAAATCAATCAATAAATGAATGTCAAAAACTGTAGGCTAAATTCCCATTCTAACCTCTAGAACCCTCATGAAGAGTTCCAACCCTTGATTTTCAATAAAGTGTCTGCAAGTGGTTGGAGATTCATCTGTGAGGTTCCAAAGTGCACTCAAAGTAAACTTCAAAGTAGTGTCCACTGAATTTTGATTGGTTTTCTGCTTCACTATTTGAAGAAGTTGCTGAAAAGAGGAAAATAGAATTAATTTCTAATTACTGAATTGTTATTACAATTACTGGTAATAACACTGACTAATAAGTCCATGAGGATTAGTTTCAGGGCTTCAAACATTTCCTATAAAGGTTCTTACAAGGACAACAAACAGCCTCTTGGATCAGACTTTTCCTTCAACAAGAAAAAAATAGAGGATTTTCATAAATACTTTTAAAATATTCTGATCATACCTAAAATCTAATCGCCTGTACATAAAATGAAAAGCAAGATGATTAAAGCTTAGGACCAACTATCTTACCCAACGGGTCACAACATATACTCATTTCAGATCCTGGGATAAAAAAGGTGGAGGGGATGAAGAGGGAATGAACCTAATATTTACTACACATCAGCAAATCATATCCTATATTGTAATACTGTCATCCCCATTTTTCAGGAGAGGAAATTGAGTCCGAGAAATATTAAGTAATTTGATCAGAGTCAACTTAGTAAGAGAAAGTAAGAACTGGAACACCTAATTCTCTCTAACTCCAAGTTTTCCTTAAGAAAAAAAGAAAGGACAAACTACATACAATAGTAAGAGAATTAAAGTCTAAATTGGATTTAAATAAGATAATAGCTTTGAAATTCCATTTGTAAATTATTTCTATCATAGCTTTAACCTAAGAAATTTAAGCTTGAAAAAGAAATATTTTAAGACCTACACGGGCATACATAATTCCATTTTTAGTTTACACTTTTGAGGGTAAAAGGGAGCTCTGCAACAACAGATACAAGTAACATTAACGAACACTATTACTTAAAGTTATGTACAATTCAGGAAAAAATTTTTAAGAAACACAAACATCTAGCTGCAATTATGTAACTTAACAGCATAGTGGCTAAGAGTGTGGCACTAGAATTGGGCTACCTGAGCTTAAATATAATCTCTGCATCTGACTAACTGTGTAATAACCTTGTTTGCCAATTTAACTCTTTGTCTCCTCATCTGTAAATTGTGGGTGATAATTAAGGGCTTAAAAAAAAAAGTTAGCTAGCATCATCATTACTACTACTATTAATTCCTGCTAATTCCTACTTTAAACCAAACAATTTTCTCCCAAAGCATATGAGTGCACTACTTCCTTAATATCTTTGAGTACACCTCCCGCCAAAATTACTGAAACACATGTACAGCAATAAAAAGCCATTTTTAAAACTAAAATGTCATCCCTAAAAGAGTAAAAATAAATCAAATCAGCATCCTTTTCTATTCATCTAACATACGTATCGTATTTTGTGCTAGGCACTTAGCATATTCCTTCAATTAATCTTTTTTTCCTTTATATTTAATCTTCATAACAACTGTATAAAGCATTTTATCATCCCTAAGAAAACTTAGGTGACTTGTCTTAAATCACGCAGCTAGTAAGTGACAGAACTGGGAATAAGCCCAGATATATTGACTACTCCTTCCTTTGTACCATCACAGCCTCCTCCTCTTTTTACACTGCTTTTTTCACTCATATCACTCTTATTATTACATATTTATTAGACTGTATTACTGTATTACGACCAGGTCTACATAGCTATTTTCTCTACTATACTGTGAATTTCTTACGGGCAGGAATTATAGCTATAATTCAGTGTAGATCCCTAACACCTAGTAAGGTGGTAGGTACCTGATGAGTATCCTATACATATTTACCAAATGAGTGACTTACTTTCTCATTACATACATAACTTGTAAGTTATAGAAAAGGGGAGTCTTTCATTTGACTTTTCCATCTACTATTATTATTCAAACATCTCACGCCAGGATTGTAACAAGCAGCTCCTAAGTGGACTTTTTCCTCAGTCCCCCCTAAGGCATGGTTTAAATTTATTCTCTTTAAAGCTTTTAACTTTTCACTGTTCACTATATTAATTCCTCAAATGAAGCAAGTAAAATCATATATCAGCTATTTACATTATCTTCTTCCCTAAAGCATCTAGCACAACCTTATGCCTAAAATAGAGACTCCACATTTTCTTCATAAATAACAAAATCACAGAATTTTAGAACTAGATAGGATCTTAAGGTTTATTCAGGCCCCAATGGTCCAGGTAATTTATCTAAATTCACAAAGTGAGTTTACAAGTTAGATCCCAGGTCATCTGACTCCTAGTTCAGGGCTCTTTCCATCTCTGTTAAGGAGTAAATCTGCCTCAATGAAGAGAAATTAATTCACTCACTTAGAAGTAACAAAAATAATCTTTTAAAATATAAAATGTCAGAAGATACACAACACTGCCTGAAAATAATGCAAATGAAAACTGTTTAGGAGTCTGTACAGACTTACCCTGACAATGAAGAGTTCAGCACCAAGCTGTGCAGTTTGTTCTGTAGAAAGCTGCAAGCAAGCAGAAGACAAAGTAAATGTCCAAGAATTCACCAGTGTGAGTTTAATATCATTCACTGTAACAGACTCCGAAGGTCAGACTAAAATCTCTGATCAACCTGGAATTCCACAATACCGAATACAGCTTGAGTAAGTTACCTGGCTTACTAAAACCTCACTGGCACACAGATTTGGGGAAAAATAGTAACTGTCATGGGAAATAGTTTCCTACAGAAGATTATTCAACAAGAGTTCAGGCACCTTGGCAGCCAGGATGGAAATGATTGCAACTGCCATCCTTTGCATGTTTTGATCCTCATGGTTGCAGAGCCACTGCATGACAAGCTTGGCTGCTTCAAACCTGAAAACACACAAAGAGTTTCATGAATTAATCCTGGAGGCCCCAGGCATTTCCCAAAGCTCCAGCTGGGAACTGATGCTACAATTTAGGTAGGTGAGAAGGAAGGGGAAAATTCCTCCTAATTGATAAGAGAATAACAAGTGCACTTAGTGTTGTGGAGATGGTGTCATTATTAATTCTGACAACACTTTGTAAAGGAATAAGAGTTTGGAAAATATGGTCAAAAATATCTGGCATTCATCTTCTAGAATTACAACATATTTCTATTCTGTAGTGATTTCTATACTATAGCAATAATTTAAAGTATTTTCTGGGTTCCTCCCAGTACCTAGCACAATGGGAACATTCATTCATTCACTCCGAAACATTTATTGAGCTCCTGTTTTGTGCCAGATACTGTTCTTGGTGCTGGAGAGAGGGTAGTGAACAAAACAGAAAATATCTCTACTCTCATTAGAGCTTACATATAGTGGGAAGACAGATAATAAATAAATAAGTAAAATATATGGTTTGTTTAGGTACTGACATATGCTTTAGAGAAAAAAAGAAAGCAGGGAAAGAGAGGATATGACATATGGAAACTTTATTAGTCCCCAAGCATGCCCATAATTATGAGGTAATATAGCTTGGTAGTTAAGAGCAGATTCCAAAGTTCTCTGAATTTTGGGGTCGGAATTCTAGCTCTATCTAATGTTAATGACAATAATAAAATAAACTATTTTATCATGTGAGGCAATGCAGTCAGGTCATTAAGAACATGATACACTTTGGAATCAGCCTGCATTCAAATATCACCTTCACCATTTACTAACTTTGGGACCCTGGGCAACTTCCTTAATCTCTCTGAACTTCAATTTTCTTGTCTGTAAAATGATATGATCTATTCCGTAGGACTGCTGTATATGATATCACACATAAAGCTTAAGACTTAGTACAGAACTTGGCACATACCAAACTTTTGATAAAGGTTAATTTTTTACTAGTATTGTCTTCCTCTGTGCCTTTATCTGTGCAGTTCCCAAAACACAAAACAATCACTCAACCAGCTTTCATTTTCAAGGCAATATGGCATGGATATAAAAAGTAGAAGCTCTGGAGTCAGTCTGGATTTAAATCTAAATTCTGCTACTTACTATCTTATCACCTTGAGCAAGTTACTAAACTTCTCTGTGCCTCTGTTTCCTCATCTGTAAAATGAAGATTACAAGAGTAACAATTTCACAGGACTGTTGTAAGGACTGAATAAGCATATGTAAAACACTTAGCACAGTGCCTGATAAGTGCTTCATACATTAGTTGTTATCTTTATTATCTTAAATACCATCACTAACATGAAATCTTTAATAATCACCAAGCAGATGGAATCTTTCCCTCTTTGCTTGGGGGCCCAGTACACTCTGTCATCCTCTTCTATGAATGATTGTCTTCTATTATACTCATAATTCATTCATTCATCCATCCTTCCATTAAACATCCACTTAAGTACCAAGTACTAGGGGCAAGATTAACCAATCACCGTCTCTCACCACAGAGAAGCTCAATTCTAGCAGAGTGCACGGGCTACATCAAGGGCAAATGATAGCCTACCTTGAGTGATCTTAATAGCTGTGGGCCCAGCTGCCTGTTTTCTAAAGTTTTATTGGAACATAGTTATCCCCATTTGTTTATAAAATGTCTATGCCTGCTTTGGAGGTACAACGGCAGAGTTAAGTAGGTCCAACAGAGACCCAATGGCTCACAAACCTAGAACATTTATTATCTGGTCCTTTAAGAAAAAGTTTGCCAACCCTGGGGTAGTTTATAATTTTCTTTAGGAGATTATGTCTTTTCTACCTATGACTTCATGAGATCAATACAGATGCTCAATATATTTATAAAATAAAATTAGCAATCTACATGAGATATATGTAGTTATATTTTTATCCAAACTATTTATTTCAAATAGTAAATGGAATACTTCATTGCCTCAGCCATGCCAGATAACAGTGTACTGTTACCCAAATAAAAGTAATTCACAGTAAAATTACTGCTTGAGAAAGACACTTCTCACTAAATCATAAAGTATAAATTTCTTCTTCAAAATACCATCATTAAAAAATTATATTTTAAAGTAGTAAAATGAAAAAAAAAATAACCTGTTTAGCTCCCAAATCACATCTTAGAAAACAAGGAAACCCTTTATACTTACTGGAATACAGCTATATGGTCTCCCTTAACCTCTGCTTAAAAAGTTTCTTCTATAATTAAATATCAAATAACAATAATAATGAGGTATGATACAGAGAAAAGAACACTGGACCTAGAAGGCTTGAGTCTTTCTAGCTTAGCAGTTACTAGTCACAAAACCACTGGCAAGACACTGAATGTCTATATGCCTCAGTTTCTTCAGCCCACAATATTGTACAGATATTCTAAAAACTATAATCAATATAAATTCTTATGCAAAGGGCTATGAAAACAGGGGCCAATCTGTTATCATGAACGTCAAAGCACTAAATTAGAGAAAGTAGATTTAGCATTCTACAAGGCAACGCACAATCCCACCAACTTGACTAATTGTACACCACGAATATCCTGAATGGTAAGAAATGACCCAAGACATATTTCTAGAATTCCATTTTGCCCCATTTTAAGTTCTAGTGCTATCACTTGCCTGTTAAATGGAACATCTTGAAGAATTCGGTCACTGCAAAGTGAAAGGAGGCAATTCTTCTGTAACTAAAGAACCAAACGGAGAAAAAAAAATCCTGAATAAAATATTATTTTATTTTTTAAACAGGGGTAGACTCTATAAAAAAAAGAAAGATTGATAAAACACCACTTATTTCTTAAAACCTTTATTCTGCCCATCTACTGTTCAAAGACTGACTTCCACTGGGCCCATATAAGTTTACTTGCACATTTTTTTTTTTGCTGTACGCGGGCCTCTCACTGTTGTGGCCTCTCCCGTTGCGGAGCACAGGCTCTGGACGCGCAGGCTCAGCGGCCAGGGCTCACGGGCCCAGCCGCTCCGCGGCATGTGGGATCTTCCCAGACTGGGGCACGAACCCACGTCCCCTGCATCGGCAGGCGGACTCTCAACCACTGCGCCACCAGGAAAGCCCGCACATTTTTTTTAATCTTTTCTATTACGTGAGAACTAGGGTAATAAATAGGATAACTCCAGCTAATTTCCCTCCCTTCTGGTGGCCTTTGGGTGGGTCCTATTTTGTCTTCTGTTCACCTGGCTTCCAGAGTCCATGAACACCAAAGCCTAAAGTTCATCTAGTTTGGCAATTGCTCTCAATGAGGGAAGCTGGCTTTAATGACCCACTCACCTATCTGGGTTGCCATTTTTACTTGGTTTTGAACCTTTGAGTATTTTTTACTAACTTGCCAAACTGTTCAAATTTTGAACAGTCCTGTCCTGAGGACAGGACAAGTTTGGTAGTCTACCTATACTGCTAGAAATAGAAAATCCATGTCTTACTCATTTCTCTATCTCAGTACTTAAGTACTGAGTACTTGAGTACTGAACCAGTACCTGGCTCAGAACAAAAGCTCTACGCCTATGCCTGTTTGCTGAAATTATCACTAACTCAAGGTCTAGGTGCAAGATGTTTTGTATGGCTTGCTTTATTTCCCTTAACATTTGGACTGAAATACTTTTAGGCAAGGAAAGCATTCTCTAGTTTTCTACTTCTCTATTGTCCTGCACTCAGTCACACCATAAATTTATTACTTCACAGCCTCCAAAGGCATTTGAATTTCCAGCCTTGGTCTACTAAAATGAACTGTATGGAGGTGGGAGATGGGTAAGAGACACTAAAAGGACTATTTGAATGGGAGTTCCCATATGCTTACCTGCTGGTGATTGGGAAAATGTTCCATGGCTTTGAGCAGCAAATGGGTCACATCAGCCAGGAGTCGCACAGGCATTCCTGCAGCAAGATCCTGCTTCGTTAAGTTAAACACACAAGCGCTTGCAGCAAGTTGCACTGGCAAATTCATAGGGTGGTTTCTCATCCCAGTAACCACAAGCTGGAAAAAAAAAATTAGTTCTTTTGATCCAACTTATAAATATAAGCTCTCTTCATATAGCAACATTACTTTGTTGATCTATAATAATTTCTAAGATGTCTTAAGTATCTTTTTTATCCTCACGTGCAGAGCCTAGGACATAGCAATTACTCACCAATATTTAGTTCCTGTTCACCTGGTCAAGGTAGGTATCAAGTTGTTCATGTCCAGAGATTTTTCTGTAAGGCTAAAGAATCTTTTCTATTCAGGGAAAACATCTTTGTATTTCCAAGACCTAGTTCAGGGCCTATTATATGCTAAGCACTAAACAAATTCTTACTGACTTGAAGAGAGTAAACCAGTAGCAACCTTCACTTTCAAATTCCAACATTCAGTTCCTTAAGAACACTGCTAAAGTTAGAGTACCATAAAATCCATTCACTTCCCTCTGGCTGACATAACTACTTCTCTCCTTTTCCTCTCTCCTCAAATCCCCAACAAATCCTCCCCATTCCTCACTATTGGCTGAAGACCTTGCTTCCAGTTACCTTGAGAAAACAGAATCAATCATAAAGAACTTCAGATTCTCACTTCCACATGTACCTCCTTACCAGCATATACATGTGCATATGCTGTCTTCCTGCCTGTTACCATAAATGACCTTTTGGGGCTCCTCTCTAAAGGTAATCCCTCCACTTATATGCTAGATTCTTCCCTTCTTGTCTACTCAAGGACACTGCTTCAGCTGTTCTCCCCTTTCACTCCTGTATCAATTTTTTATTCTGTACTGGATCATTAATATCAGCATACAAACAAGCTATTTTTTTCTCCCATCCAAAAAAAGAAAAAAAAAAAACAAACCACACACTTCTTCAGCCAGCTACCACCTTTTTTCTTTGCTCTCCTTTGCAAGAATCACATTTCTCTCTGCATCATTCTCTAAATGAATGAATGAATGAATGAGTAAATATTTCAGATCAGGACTAGAGGTCTGGTCCTTTGTTACTCAGGTTCACAGTAACCAAAACCAAAAAATGATAATGCATATACCAAGTGCCAACATCCTCTGGTATGTACATAGGAGGTGACAGATGTTGGGGATAACACCTTAGGACTTAAATGTTACTGGTTCCTTTCCAAACACCCCATTCTCAAAATCTAAGAAACTGGGAGGTTAAGGCATTTCTGGCTCTGACACTAACTTTCTGTTACTTAACCTCACAGACCCTCAGGTACATAATCTGTAAAACAGGAGATAAAACTTATCTCTTGGGATTGTCATGCCCACTAAACGAGGTATCAAATTTAATATAGTCCTATACTCATTGGTTTCTAAACTGAATGTGCATAAGGATTATCTTGGGGGATTATTAAAATGCAGATTCCTGTACCTCACGAATTCCTGAGGTACTCTAATTTTCCTTATAATTCCTGTACCCAGCCCTATTGAATCTAAATTTCTTGGCATGAGGTTCACAAATATACTTTTTATTTTATTTTTTTAAAGATTTATTTAATTAATTTATTTATTTATATATTTTTTGGCTGCGTTGGGTCTTCGTTGCTGCGCGCTGGCTTTCTCTAGTTGCAGCGAGCGGGGGCTTCTCTTGTTGTGGAGCACAGGCTCTAGGCGTGCAGGCTTCAGTAGTTGTGGCTCGCGGGCTCTAGAGCGCAGGCTCAGTAGATGTGGCACAGGGGCTTAGTTGCTCTGTGGCATGTGGGATCTTCCCGGACCAGGGCTCGAACCCTTGTCCCCTGCATTGACAGGTGGATTCTTAACCATTACACCACCAGGGAAGCCCCTTTTCAAGATTTTTTTTGATGTGGACCATTTTCAAAGTCTTTACCGAATTTGTTACAATATTGCTTCTGTTTTATGTTTTGTTTTTTTGGCCACGAGGCATGTGGGATCTTAGCTCCCCAACCAGGGATTGAACCCGCACCCACTGCATCAGAAGGCAAAGTCTCAGCCACTGGACCGCCAGGGAAGCCTCTCACAAATATGCTTCTTAAAATAAGCAGTATCCCAGACTTCTGATGGATAGAGGACCACATTCTGACAAACAATGCCCTAAGTAATCAACAAAATTAAGAATCCTCCTTTCTTGCCTTTCAAAAGCTGTCCTGGTTAAAATATCTTAATTGAGGAATAACGCAGATTAGTTACAAAAGCACAGGAGGTTCATAAATTGCATGGAAAATTTATGAACCTTATAAAATTCCAATATTGTATTTCTTTAAAAAGCCTATATGGAAGCAATACAGGGGTAATATACAAAGCAGTGTCCTGATTCCAGTCATATATTCCATTTTCTACTATAGCTGGTGAAAACATATCACAGTGATTACTGGTTTTAGATAGTTAAATATGAACTTGAAGGCATTTATATTGCTTAAGTGAGACTACTATAAAACTTCAGTAACACTATGGAACTACCTCCTCTCATTCTCATTTATGGCTAATAACTGAAATTATACATTATCAACCCCATTACAAAAAAACAAACTAAATGCAAATTTTCACTAAGTTTCTTCACAAAACCATCATCTATCTAGGAAGACAATTTCTAATTTCTCATATGCAGTTTCTTATTCTTACCTTTAAAATTTCTGGTTTTGTTTTTTCCATCACATGAGTCAGGCTAAAAAGGTGAAATAGAGCTTCCCGGACAAAGAATGCCCGTTCACTGTACCGCTTCAATGCTTCTGCAATCTGAGTTTCATTGGCTTCTCCAGACACCTTTGAACATAGACAGAAGATGAGTTTTTAGGATTCTTTTCAACCCTCTAACTGTCTCTATCCAAACATCATTTGTGTGGATGGCATCCACGGTAGCTTTGCAAAGCCTGAAACAAATGGGAATGATCACTTTCCAATCCATCCAGAAAAGTCATCCTACGGAGGTGTACATATGCTAAAGAGATGTATATTAGATAGGCTAAGACCCTACTATAAGTCTATGGGTAAAATTTTCTATACTGTACCTAAAATAAATCTCAAGATATGTAACACTATTTATAAGGTCTTACTACCCATGATTAGGCTCCTACTGCCTCTTAAGGTAACCCTTTCCCCTTAACTCACAATATTATAACTACAGTGGCCTTTCTTTTATGTTTTTTTTATTTTTATAGCAGTGTGTACATGTCAATCCCAAACTCCCAATCTATCCCTCCCCCGCACCCTACAGTGGCCTTTCTTTCTGATCTTTCAATAAGCCAAGCTCTTTCCCAGGAAAAGGCTACTAAATATAATATCCTCTCTGAGTGAAATCTTCCTCTCTTTCTCTACCGAATTTCTAGTCATCCTTCCCATTTCAAGTTAAACGACACTTCTCTAGAAAGGCCTTCTCTGACCCACCAATCTAAATCAGGTCTCCCTTGAAACACCTCCTTCATAGCCATTATCATGACCCCCCTAGCAGACTGACCTATTCACCACTGTACCTCAACAGGGAGCATTGTGTGTGGCTCATAATAAGCACTCAATAAATACTTATCAAATAAATGTATTAATTAATTTTCCCAGATTTATCAAGCTCCCACTCAGCATCAAGAGGTGCTGTTCAAAAGTAAGTTTATCTAGGAATTTCCCATTTATACAGGTTAATATCCTTAAACTGTGGTTCATATACCATTGGGTAATGAAATGTATATTAACAGGAAGTGGCTTTTTAGAAAAGTAATCCAACTAATGAGTAAAAAAAGAGGGCTTCCCTGGTGGCGCAGTGGTTAAGAATCCGCCTGCCAATGCAGGGGACATGGGTTCGAGCCCTGGTCTGGGAAGATCCCAAATGAGGTGGAACAACTAAGCCTGTGCGCCACAACTACTGAGCCTGAGCTCTAGACCCCGTGAGCCACAACTACTGAGCCTGCATGCCACAATTACTGAAGTCTGCGTGCCTACAGCCCGTGCCCCGCAACAAGAGAAGCCACTGCAATGAGAAGCCTGTGCACTGCAACGAAGAGTAGCCCCCGCTCGCCACAACTAAAGAACCCCATGCACAGCAATGAACACCCGATGCAGCCAAAAATAAATAAACAAAACTCTTAAAAAAAAAAGAAACTTCTAGAATATCACCATGATCTCCAATGAATAACTAGGTGTTGAGTGTCAACAACTGCTAAAAATCACGGAAAGAAAAACAACCAGACATTATGTACTTCCTTAATGAAAGAGCGTAACACCTGAGGGTCCTGCCAAAGGGATAAAACATGAGTTTGATTAAGTCACTAAATCCAACTACCAATCTGCAGAAAATACAAAGTCAGTGAAACATGCACTACAAGCATACAATCAAGAAAACCCAGGTTGAGGGAGACTCTACAAATCAAAGGGCTGGATTCGTTAATACACAAATTATAAGGAAAGGAAAGGGATGGAGAGGGAACTTATAAAAGATACTCAAAAGACATATAATTTTGAAAAATGGGTAAGATTAAGTGACTAAAGGTAAACAGTTGGATGATAAACTATTTAAAAGAGCAAGGACATGATTATCATTAAAGTCTGGACAGAGATTACTTTTGTGGGGAAGGAGGGAGTTGTGATCAGCTTGTAGCTGACAAGTTCTATTTATTAGCCTGAGTGATGGTTTCAAGTGTGTTCACCTTATTTTCACTCATTAAGGTATACATTTGTTATTTATGGTCTTTGCATCTGTCTTATTTTACAAAGAGGTAAAAAAACACACAAAAAAACAAAAACAAAACCCAAAACCCTGCTGTTCAGAGAGAGAGAGAATCTTCTCATTAAGGTGGAAGACTGTCTTTTTTTGGCAGTACCATTATAAAAGGTGACACAAAAATAAACACTTTTAAAATATATTACACAGTAACTAGGTTTTATATGAACATAGAGTATTCAGGCAGGAATATGCAGCTTTGAGGAAATGAAGGGCTGCATCATGGCTGACATTTCAAACACTGATAGGATATGCTACAAAGGTCTAATAAGAATTAGACTACAGTACAGATGTGTACCAAGTGACACAAAGGCACGTTTTGAGCATCTGTAAGATTATAGGAATAACAGTGGAAGTTTCTTTACAAAATGCTTTTTAAACTATTTATGTATAATATACATACATAAACATTGGTCTTGACTATGTATTCACATATATAAGCAGTTATTGAATAATAAAAACTTTCCAAGTGTTCAGTTCTTTTGGAATCACCCTGAACTTTTTCTTAGATTTTCTTAGATTTGGAAAGACACTGAATTATTACATGAGATAAAAAAGATTGTATGAGGGAAAACACATTAACAATAACTTCATCAGAATTCATCAGTCCACATTTGGTTGATTCCAACAGCTTTATATTAACTTACATGAAATGTAACCTCAAGTTACCTTTAAATATAAAATTAAAGAACTTTTTCTTTTTTTTTTTGTGGTACACGGGCCTCTCACTGTTGTGGCCTCTCCCGTTGCGGAGCACAGGCTCTGGACGCGCAGGCTCAGCGGCCGTGGCTCACGGGCCCAGCCGCTCCGCGGCATGTAGGATCTTCCCAAACCGGGGCACAAACCTGTGTCCCCTGCATCGGCAGGTGGACTCTCAACCACTGCGCCACCAGGGAAGCCCAAAATTAAAGAACTTTTGTTACTGGAATGTAAATACTCTAAACCAAATTTCATTGCCTGTATGTTTATTCAGTGATCAACACTTCTCTAGCCAGTGATAAACCCTCAAATCAAGCAATCTGGCTCCCCAAACTAAATGCATCTTCAATTCAATCAATTTCGTATGCTAGATCAAAAAACAAACAAACAAAACAAAACAAACAAGTGTCTGTATGCACTAGTTTCTGCAAACAATTTAAAACAGAGAAAATATCCCTAACCACTAAATTAAGCCTTATTAATATTTAATATATGGATTAAAACTAAAATGTATATTCTAAGGAAAAACTTTCTTGTAGCACTCAGTATATAACCCTATTATAGCATTTCTTACAATGGATTAAAGCTATTTTTAAATTGGTCTGCCTCCTCTCCACGAGACTAGAATTCCTCAAGGGCAGAGGCCTTAGCTCAGACATCTTTAAAAAGTTCTTAGAGTTTTTTAAAATGGATTGACTCCTTTGCTTAAAAAAACTTATATGTACCTTCACTGGATGTTGATTACTGCAGTTTAATATAAGAGTCTTAGTTCTCAAGGGACAAGTCTAGGCTAGAGATATAAATTTAGGAGTCATCAGCATATAGGTTTAGGTCCTGGGAGATTAGGAAGAACCAATAAAGAAAATTGAGGGTGAGTCCAAAAAGTAGGGAAAAAAACAAGACAAGTCTGATATCCTAGGAACTAAGTAAAAAAAGTATTTCAAGAAGGAGGACAAGATCAACTGTGTCAAATGCCACTTTAGATCAAATAAGATGACAACTGAGAATATTGGGTTTAGCACACAACCAGTGATTCTCAGGAACTGGGAACCACAGCTTGGTAAATAACCCCAGAGTCTAGGAATGAGGCAGCCAAAAAACATAAGAGTCCTAATTGTGGAGAAGTGGAAGGTTCAAGAAACTGATGCTTACAGATGAATAAATTGGGTAGGGAAACAGAGATGACAGAGTTGGTAATTCTGTGGTAAGAAAACCATCTGTGTTGGGACTAGAAACAGAGAGTAAAGGAAAGAACTAAGATTCTCAAATATAGGCAATGAGATGTAGTAGAAAGGACACATACCAGGCTCATCAGCTGGCTGTGACCCTTAAGAAAGCCATTCCCTCCCACTGAGGACAATACTTCCCACACAGAGTCAAGAGATCAAAATAAATAATATATACGAAAGTGGAAAAAAACAAAACTTTTGTTCTTATAACCACCCACTAACAGTATAATATAATGCCTCATAAGGAATACTGGGGAGTCACACTGTCTCTATTTCCTGCATCTTTCAGTGTGGTCTAAAAAACATATAAAGCCAAAAATGTCAACCTAAACTAGTTTAATTTAAAGCATCACAATACTAAGACAATCATTTCAGACAAGATTTTCATCAACTTTGCTAACTTGGAAAATTCTAAAAAAGGAGACAAAGCAATCTCAGCTCTCTTCCCTTAACATGACCTATTATTTTTCAGCTCTCAAATTAGTAGTCAAACAAATAGTTGAAAAGAAACATCAAATTTTTGGCCAAGAGGTACATGAAAAGATGCTCAACATTACTAATTATTAGAGAAATGCAAATCTAAACTCCAATAAGATATCATCTCACACCGGTCAGAATGGCCATCATCAAAATATCTACAAATAATAAATGCTGGAGAGGGTGTGGAGAATAGGGAACCCTCTTGCACTGTTGGTGGGAATGTAAATTGATACAGCCACTATGGAGAACAGTATGGAGGTTCCTTAAAAAACTAAAAATAGAATTACCATATGACCCAGCAATCCCACTACTGGGCATATACCCTGAGAAAACCATAATCCAAAAAGAGTCATGTACCAAAATGTTCATTGCAGCTCTATTTACAATAGCCCGGAGATGGAAACAACCTAAGCGCCCATCATCGGATGAATGGATAAAGAAGATGTGGCACACATATACAATGGAATATTACTCAGCCTTAAAAAGAAATGAAATTGAGCTATTTGTAATGAGATGGATAGACCTAGAGTCTGTCATACAGAGTGAAGTAAGTCAGAAAGAAAAAGACAAATACCGTATGCTAACACATATATATGGAATTTAAGGGAAAAAAAAATGTCATGAAGAACCTAGGGGTAAGACAGGAA